ATCTGCGTTTTGACGAGCAAAATCAAGCGTTATATCCTGAGGTATGCATTTCATTAACAAAGGGTATAGTAAACTTTCCATACGATTCGGTCTTGACCCCTATCGAATTTAGTGACCTTACTTGTACGTTGCAGGTATCATATAATTCCCTCAAAGAATTAATGTCATTAGAACTTCGGACAGGCCGTAAATTTAAAAGTTTATGCATGTAAGAATTAATAAGGAGATCTTTTCGACCATACTCTCCTTTGAGAATTTTAAAAGCTTCGTCGTAGTTTTCTGGAGATAAAGAAAAGCCTTCTATTGTTTTTAAAGCTGCACCGCCTAACAGGCTAAGCAAGTAATTAAACTTATCCTACTTTAGATAGTTTTTCGTTTTGATTTATTGCCGTGTCAAAAGAATTGTAAAATGTCTGCCACATTTCAGCATTTCCCATAAAAATTTATCAATCATAATCTTTCGGCAATTTAACATTATAATCAGAACTTTTATCGACACCAGAAATAGATAAATTGTTACTATCATTAGAAGAACCATTAGAAAACTAGCGAATTATTGCTATTTCTTTTTCTTTCAATAATTTTGTGCCTCTAAAGCTCCATTTCGAAATTTTTTCTTCGTATTCCAAGGCACTTTCGATTTCGGTTTCAATGTCATTAACATCAGTCAAAGTTTTAATTTTTTCGTCTAACGCTTTCAAAGAAATAGCTTTTACTTTTAAACTTTCCAGTGATTCTTCAAGGTCTTCAAGGTTACCGGCTGCAATTAATGATTCAATAGCATTTGTTACTTTAGTAATGGCTGAACGCATAACTTTCCGTTCTTTCTTAGATTTCGTTAGCTCTTCAGCCATTTTTGTAACCTTGAATTCCACTTTACCACAAAATAAATTCAACAAATTTCTTACCTTTCTGAAGACTCACTTACGCATTTTATCCGTGAACTTTGCAGAATGACATATCCTCCTGTTCTGACACCACTGTCATATCCTTCTTTTTCTTGGGCGTGTAGCTTCTGGATATGTATTTCCTTCCTACCGTAGACGTATCGTATTGTGTGCGTTGCATAAAACAGCCATTTTAACGGCACAACACTTTATTAACACACAAATAAAAATAATAAGTACAAACGAGTAACACACAAGTAATACTTCGTACTGACATACAACACGTTTCCTTCGTTACTTCGCTACTACCTACTAACTACTCTTCTCTAGTAAGTCTCATGAGAGAGAGGCGTTGCAGCCGTTCGGCTAAACTGCGCATGCATGGTCATCACGTCATGACACCAATAATATTTGGTGCCAACAATTTGAAAAGTGAACTGACATTTATAGGGAATCAATACAAAATGCCAAAAATGAAATTAATAGCCCTTCTGTGCTAACGCCCTTTGGGCTAAAAACAGACATGGAGAAGTAATAGAAGAGTAAACTTCATTAGAAAATAAAAAAACTCAGTTATAAATGTTATTGAAAAAACTTCCATCTGTCCGACAAGTTAACAAATAAACCACAGGCTTTTCAATGGCTGAATGTTTAAAATTTTCAGTGTTGTAGTTTCACTAGGGATTCACTTTCTGGTCAAAAGTTTGCTGACTCCATAAGTATTTTCAGGGTTTTTGTTATGTGTAATACAGATGGAAGGAATGAATTTCCTTCAGAAAGTTAACCATAATGGTATCCCCCCTTTTTTTGTCGTGATCAATTACCTGAGTGTTTCTTTTAATGAGAGCATCAAATAAGTGTGAACAATTTATAACTTTTTTTTTTCATATGCTTTGAATATATTTTATCTTAATTTTTCTCTTTCTCTATACGGAATTTGATTGGAATAATTTCTAGAAGTTCTTTAACCCCCTTCGCAATGGTATGTCACTGAATTAAAAACCCTCTGCAGACAGATGTGTGATATATGCATCAGCCCTTATGTCGCTAGCAGCCACGTGATGCACCGGTGCATCGCTGCTTGCATTGATCTTCCAGATGGATGTGGCACATATTCATTCTCAAATATATACGTTCTTTTAGAATCTTTTTAAATCACTAGATGGCTTTCCGTGTCCACTATAATTTGTTTATTAGAACATATACATTATTGACCCTTGTTGTTCATTAAGTACTTTTGTATTCTGGTGATTCATTTAGATGTGCGAGCAGGTAATATAAAGTAAACAAATCCCAGCTGACACACAGTTGGCTTCATGTTATATAAATGTTGAGCAGTTTCTGATGCTTCACATTTGTCTTTTTATTTTTTTTCCTGTGGTTGGGAATCAGTTGGGAATGGAGCTGTGGTTTTAGGAACTCCAGTTTCCATTCCGTTTGCATTTTCTGTAGATAGCAGATGTAAGTTTTTTGCACCAGGTAAGATGTTTGAACTAAAAGTGTGATGTCTAAGAGAAGTTTTCTATGGAAGAAGAGTATATTTAAATTGTAAAGCCCATGAGTGACTATTTTGACACTGAAAACTAGATTTAAGGGAGAATAGAGATTTTGATATTTTCTCAGAGACTGAACAGGAAGTTTATTTTGCTTTAACCCCACAATTCAGAACAGTTTCTACTCCGCCATGACCTCGATTTGTTAAGTAATTGAAGCCTTATGAATTTATGGGAATTGTAAAAGTAAACTTAATTAAAAGTTATGTGAATGAAATTGATTTTTTCCCATTTTTTTTTCCAATAATCTAATGAACATAATAGTTGAAGAAACCAGTAAGTTCTATGAACAAAAAATGAGTGAAAATCCATCTTCATCCAAAATCAACTTGCTCCTCTAGATCCTAAAATGAGGGGATTCCTAGGATTAATTATTCTGCTGGGATGGAATTAAAAGTTCAACCTGAAAATGTGTTTCATAAGTAATGAAATGATGGCGATTATATTATCACACACAGTCTCCTTTCTGAATCATTTATGCTATATTTGATCATATATTTAATTATTTTTTACGAATGTTAAATATAGATTTATGTAAGTTTTTTTACAACATTTCATCGAGTCAAATATTTTATTTTGCATTTAAATTTTAATTAAAATTTTTTCAGAATCTCTTGATATTCTGAATTTATGATTATATTACTGTTAAATATCATTACAGAAAAAAATTAAAACATTGGATTAAAAAGAGATGTTTGAATGAACTTTTTCTTAAAGTTAGCGATGTAAAATATCCCATGTGGCAAGATCGTACTACTGAGTTTAGCTCAGTGGCATGCCGTTGCTTAAGAGGATTAACTGCTGATGCATATCTGATACACTCGTCCTGAAGCGGTTAAGAAAATTGCTTACTAACATTCTAAGAATAGTAGTGGATGTATGATGATATATAAACACAAAATAGATGTTAATTTTCCAAAAGGGCAGTAAGTTTTCATTGACTTTATTGTCATCAATTTGTAAAAAATCTGTCTTTAAGATAATAAATATTTTCTAATTTATAAGTGGTTTTGATCATTTCCATTTTTGAAGAAAAATTATCTTTTAATGGCCTAAATGATCTTTTAGTGATCTATCTTCTTATTTTTTCCCTCTTCAATAATTTTTTTTTCCAATAATTTTATCGGAACTTCCAAATCTAAAAATGTGAGAATTTGGCATTTGCAATTCATGTTATAACTTACTATTAAACTGAAAACTAAATATTTTTAATTTCGCGCTAGGCTTTCAGTGTGAGGGACCAGGAATTATCAGATATTTATAGCTTGCTGCAAAATATGCATATATATTAACTAAAAATTTGATTTTCTTGTTTTGTTGGAACATTTTTGTAAAAAAATAACAATATTTAATAAAAGTTTAAAATACAATGTTTAAATAAAATCTCTTTTCAATAAATATTGATAATTTTATGTCAATTTCTACATGCTGAAGGGAAGGAAGTGATAGAGAAACTGAAAATGTGTTCTTGCGGATAAAGCAAATTTTTTTTCAATCCATGAAAGAAATTTGCATAAATAATTGCTTGATTAATTAAACTCTTGAAGACTATCTTACTAAGAGGAGGCATTTGGTTATCAGGTGTTGAATAATAGATAAGCTACCCAGTAAGAGATTCTCACTATCCGTTTTGTGTGTTATTGTGATGTAAATAATTAGCGTGTCCATCTGGAAGCTGGAAGATTCATGGTTTGAATCATAGCAAAGTTTTCACGTTTCGTGTTTTGAAAAATGTAAAGAACTCTGCTGTGGCATCTGAACTAAAATGTGGTGGATGATAAATCATCACCACTTAGATTTGGGTAACTGAGTCTGTACCCTCTCCCCAGTTATTTTGTAAGTGGAAAAAAATATAAGGAATTATTGGCTAACACATAAGTTGAGTAATTCCAGGATCTCTAGTTAAAATCGATTTATTGTATTTCTTGCTTAGGAAAATCTAACAGTTTTCCTTTATGCAAACGATTTATGTAAAAGACACAGGGAATGCAGGGATTAATCACAGTTTACCATTTTTCCTCCCTTTTTTAAAACGTATCTATAAAACTCTGCTTAGTGCCTGGTCTAATTTAAAAAGAATTTTTTTTTAATGTTATAAATGTGTTGAAAGAGTACTGAGAAGTTAAGAAAGTAGTGATAGATGGCAAAATCAAGTTTATGATCGGTGAACAACCATGATTAAAGCATAAACTCGGAAAGTTAAATCGAATGGTGTCAGTATTTGCTGTGAATTTGTGATTAATAATTTTATGGATCTTGCAGAATCTAAAAATGTGATTTCTCTAACTATAGCCATTAGGTGGATAGGCCTTTTCCTATACAGAGCACTATATAATTTGAAAACTGTTGTGAATCAACTGATAAATGCAGGAGAAGGAAAAGAGAGAGAGGTGTGAAGTCTTAGCACAAATAAAAACACTGAAATTTTTCATGTACCTAATATATTTTCAAGTAATCAATTTTTGTGCCTTGTAGCCTCATATGTGCTATTATATTTCAGATAAAGTTTCTAAGAACAAATGTATTATTATTGATAAACCAGTTCATCTGTTTTCCTTAGGCCATAAACAGTATGCAATATGTTCATCCGACACAAATACAAGCTGCAACAATTCCAGTTGCTCTGATGGGTAGAGATATTTATGGCTGTTCAGCTACAGGCACAGGTACATTTTGATATTATTATTTGTATAAAATTATATATATATAGATGTACGTGTGAATGTGTGTATTTTATTACACATATTAATAAATCTCTCTCTTTTTTAAGGTAAAACAGCTGCTTTTATGCTTCCTGTTTTGGAACGGTTGCTGTTTAAGCCAAAGGATAAACCTGTTACCCGTGTTTTGGTGATTTTACCAACGAGAGAACTTGCCGTTCAAGTCTATCAAGTGTCCAAGCAATTAGCACAGTTTACTAAAATCGAAATTGCTCTATCTGCTGGTAGGTATCAAAAAGAATTTTATAATATATTTTAATATATTTCCCATGTATATCAGTGAAATAGTTTAGAATTTGGGGTTGTGGAGATGCGCAAAGAAGCTTCTAGTGATATGGTTTTTGCTAATTATTTTTATTCTTGTTGACTCATGCATTTATAAAGCCAGTAAACAAAGTGATGCAAAAGTGACTATTCTAGAACTTTTTATACTTCTGAAAACAGCGGCAGGAGCAAGTTGTCAGAAGTAAAGCAGAAAAGCTAGTATTTCTTACCACAAAAGAAAGTTAAGCTCAAAATAATTTGAGTTTTATTTCGGAAATTTCCTATTAGATATTAAAAGGTTTTGATTCTAACTAAAATCTTATTTAGTGAAGCATTAGTAGTATGCCTGCGTTAGTAGTAAAATTAGAATCATATGACATAGTTTAATTTGGAAATGATGCAGTTTAGAGGGATTTATTACAGACATTTACTGTTTTTGAGACAGAACAGGAAATTATCCAAATTAAAATAGAAAGTCAAGGGAGTATAACAAATTAAAAGTTAGAATTTGGAGTTGCATATTTTTTATCTTATATGTACATTAATGTTTATCTCCATTTGCTAACACTTTAATGCTTTTTCTCTAAAAAAAGGGCTTGTCTATCGCTAAGTTTTTTTCTCTGCAAAGGAGGCAATATGCAAAATTTTAAAATCATTTCAAAATCTTTAGTTAAATTTAATTGTTTAAATTAAAAATATGATAATTACTACTTAAAAAGTAAATTAAAAATATCTGAACAGGATTCTACGACAGCATATAAATTTTGAATATTGTTTATTTGCATAATGAGTTTGAATGTATCTTTTATACTTCTGTCCATGAAATGTGGATTTATTATCTTAAAATATAGCTTTTTATGTTTTCTTTTTTAGGTGGTTTGGAACTTAAACCACAAGAGCAAGCTTTAAGGCGGCTGCCTGATATTATAGTAGCTACTCCTGGTAGATTGCTCGATCACCTTGAAAATACTCCTTCTTTCAGTCTTCATTATATTGAAATCCTTATTTTAGATGAGGCAGATAGGTAAATCTTCAATAGTTTTGTAGTTCAGTATTGTTAGTATTTTAAGTATTAAATATTAAAACTAGTTAAGTCTTTGTTTAAATTTGCAGTTAAAGTTAAAAAAAAGAGGGAAGGTACATATATTTTATTCCAGTGTTTAAAATTTTTTGCTTTAGAGAAGTGTAAATCCCCTCTCAATTTTTTTATTCATCTGTTCATCTTTCATTTATTCCACTATTCTGAAATCTTATAAATTTGAATATAAATTCTCATTTAACTTAACAAGCATACATAAAATAACAACAGCAGATTAACATCTTTTAACATATGCCAGTAATGACCTAATATCCTAGCAAAATCTGACACTTGAGTTGCATGTTGTTCTAATAGGAATATATGAATTATTTTAGTCATTCAATATGAGAGCAATATCTTCATCTCCTAATTATTGAATTAAACAATCAAAGACCTCCCCCAACAAAAAAGTTCTCAATGTCAAAACCCTTAAAGTTCATGCTTGTCACATCTTGCTTCATCTTTAATATATTTATTAATGTTTCATAATTTTTAAGCTTGGCTTTCAGTGCAACCGAAGAAAGTCAGGGAATTTGAAAAATTGACCAAAAAAAGTCAGGGAATTTAAATATTTTTGTCCAGATCTGGAAAAGTCAGGGAATTTCATACAGCGATCCACTAAAAAAGCGATTTTTGCGCCAACATTGGAATCGATCACTTCTTAGGCAGCTGGTGTGGAGCCAGTTTTTAAACTCCATTCAGTTTCTCTTTTAGAAAGGCAAAGCAAGTTTCCAGTAACCTTGAGAATCGAGAGACTCGTGTGCGCATGTGCAGTGCATGTTGAACTAAAGAATACCTTCCCATTTTCGTATAAAACAAAATTGGTTTAATCCTAGTATATGGTACACAGGTAATTTGGCTACATTATGATGAGCAGTAAACAGGTTCATTTTGGTGTTGGTAACAATTTGCATGCAGAAAAATAATAATCAGTCATCTATGCTAACCATTTAATATAACTATATTTGCCAAAATATCGTTGATTATTGTAATTCAATTTTTTATTAATTAACTATTTTAATGTTATTTGTACTATTTAATGTGGCTTCTTCTCTCTAAATTTATTTATTATTAGTTAATAATACTTTCAAATTTCAGGCAATTTTCTCTGGCATAAGCCTGAAACTAATTCTAACAGTATGATGACCATGAAATTTAATGCCCATATTTTTTGCTTATGTATGCTGCTGAATAAATATAAAAAATAAATATAAATACTTGAATTTATTTTAAAATGTCATTAATAGATTTATTCTTCCTTTAAGGTTGCAAAAAAGAAAGGATATTTTTAAATCCTGATTGGGCAGATTCTAATTTCAATCCTCAGTGGAGAGAACAATTCCTATTATAGTTATAAAAGTAATGCTCTGGAGGTTATATATATATATATATGTAAAATAAAAAAAAAATATGATGGCTTTGCACGAACAGGCAACCTATAATTAACTTTCCACAATTTTAGGATCTTTTCCTAGACCAGTACTTTTGACCAGTACTCCCCAACAGAAAGAAATTAAATTTCACTATTATTGAAGAAACAAAATGCCACTGCAATGAAAACTTGTGCCATGAAAAGATGTGTTTACAGAGCAGAAATTAATTAGCTTCATGCATTCTTTTGTCTTACTCTTACTCTTTTGTTTATTTATTACTGCTGCCAAGAATTCATGTTGGCTGAATCCTTTCAACTGCACCCAACAATAAAACATTGTACTGTTTTGTACTGTCAGTTAGAATAATTACATTCATTCTTATGTGTGAGTTTATGTATTAGGCTCTTCTTTTTGTATTTATTTTGAATTTAATAAAATAATGAATATTTTCATGAAGCTATATATATATATATCTTTAAGAAGTTTCCAAAATATTTCAAGTTAGATATCGTGTTAATCATTATCTTTGGTGCCAAGTGATATCCTATCAGTCGAAAAGTACCATTTCCAATAGCAATACTAAAGTATTATTATGTCTGAATAAAATGCATGTATCAATGACTGTTATGTTTGAAACAAAGCAATTTTTTTACTCTGAAAATAGAATAAAAGCTAATCAAAGACAGGATGATTTGAACTATGCCTTTGATAGTCAGCTATTGTGATTATTTGTTATAGTAAATATGTAATATGTCATATATATAAAATTTAATCTGTTTGATATTATAATTTGTTAATTTTTACAGAATTCTTGATGAATACTTTGCAGAACAAATGAAAGAAATAATCAAGCAGTGTTCTTATACCAGGCAGACCATGCTGTTTTCTGCAACTTTAAATGATGAGGTAGAACTTTGTTAATAATTATTTACTATAATTTTATTTCTTTATAATTGTATTTCTTTATAATCAAGGTTTATATTTTCAGGTGAAAGATTTAGCAGCATCGGCTTTAACGAATCCTGTCAAAATTTTTATAAATAGTAACACAGAAGTTGCATTTAATTTGCATCAAGAATTTATCCGTATTAGACCAAACAGAGAAGCTGATCGAGAAGCTATTTTAGCTGGTAAGTTATCTTCCCCCATACTCTTATCATATCAACTTGTTACCCCCTTTTTTGGGTGGGTTGAGTGTGATAATATGCAGTCATCTAGTTCTTGTATAATATTAGTGCTTGTCAGCCTCTATTAGTTGATATATCTCTTGAGAGATGATCCAATCAATTTGTTATTGTGTTAGTTGTATAGCCTTTTGTTTCAATGTAATATACAAATTATGGAGTCAGAGTAATGTTATTTGTGTGAGGCACATGAAAGTATATACCGTATTTGGGAAAAAAACCTTGCAGTAGCCATAAAATTAGTAAGGTGATATGCTTGTAACAGATCAGAGCATTATGTGAGATAATGTGGGCAAAATAAGAAAAGGCATAATATAAATAATTCCGGCAATGAAAGTAAGAGAGATAGAGATACCCATGCTGTAAAGATATAAAGTTTGAAAGTTTTGACTAATGTTGCTGTGTAAAGCAGAGACTTATGAACCATTGTGTGTAACTAATGAGTGATGTTAAAGGACATAAAATTGTGTACATATGAAATGCCAGTGGTATGCATTATGAAAAAGAAGTAAGAATTTGACTAAATTAATGGGCAATGAAAATAAAAGGATTTTGTATGAATTTAGTGGATATTATTGTAAGGTCACAGGGCGTGCATATTCTGCAAATCTGCAGGTTTAAAACTTTAATATAATCTATCTTTTCCATAAATTTTGTTCACCCAGTATGGATTTATTTTTGTAGGTATGATTGAGTTATATATATATTTTAAATTAGTGTAATTTTCATATTTTACGGTGGAAAAAATAAAAACATTTGTAATAGTATACACTAGTTTATTCCATTTCAAAGCCGTTAGTGAATGGATAGATCTATAGTGTGTGATAATTCTGTTTGTTTGCTAGGTTAAATCTGTTTTTGAAGCCTCTTGCTTTATGGATAAGCAGGTGTATGGATGAACACTGACTGTTCCACATGAAAAATTATGAAAAGTGATTTTTTATATCTGTAATTGTATCTATTGATAATATAACTAATAAAGAATAATATATAGCCTTCAAAACTTCTGCAAATTATACTGCAACATGGTCAACAAAATTTCATTATCGGAAAAGATGTTTTACTTTAATATGAATGCACTAGATACAAAAAATTCACCAGTTTTTATGTCTCAAATGCAATTTTTCTTTCAAGTCTCACAAAATTTAAATATAGGTGAATTGATAACAAATATTCATTATTTTTATGAGCCTAAGATGGAAATTTCTTCATCCATTTGCTTAAGTTCTCTACCATGAATTACATTTTTTCATACACTACCCGACATTGAAAATGCAGCACCAAGAAGTAGCCTGAAAATTATGCAAATTTCAGGGTAGATGCACATCACCAAGTTATGCTAATGATGTGAAATGCACACACATTGAAAAAGATATAAGAGAAGGAACCTGCAGAATGTTCAATTTTCATGTCATTATTTCTGCTAGGGAAATCATTGTAGGAAATCCGTTCTTGTCTCAGAAGACATGTGTAATAGCAGAGAATGCCGGGAATGTCAACGGAAGCAGTGCCTGTAGACAGATGATTTTATGAGGGGCAAATTGAGAAGGGCAGGTTTGTTTATGTGGCAAATCTCAGCTGACGTGTCCACAAAGCATCAGCTGTGGCGATGATGGTTGGAGCAAGGAAACATGGCAAGTTTAAGTGGTGCCGGTGCAGCCAGAGTGACATTAGCATGCATGGAACGACTCATCAACTAAGAGGTGGTGTCACACCCGCATGACACTTCTACTTCCATTCTGCAGCATGTTCAAGACAGCCTTCATATTCCCATATCAACCAGAACCATTTGCCATCGATTGTCAGCTAGTCTCTTGCATTCGTGGTGTCCATTAAGAAGATTGCCTTTGAACCCACATCATAGACACCAGTGTCTGCAATGGTTTTGGGTTCGAGTGATGTAGATGGTAGAATGGCACAGGGTTGTGTTCTCAGATGAGATTCACTTCTGTTTCTCCAATGATAGTCACTGCATACGATTGTGGCGTTGATGTGGAGGCAGGTGGCAGAATTTTGGAACACCCCACCACATGACAGTATGCCATCAGGGTTTGGGGTGCAATTGCATGATTCCAGGTCACCTCTAGTTCCTATTCAGAGCACTATGTTGGCCCAACGATACATGGATGATGTGCTGCAGCCAGTGACACCCCTTACCTTCAGGGAGGGCACAATGCCTTTCATGAGCAGGATAATGCCTGATCACACACCGTTTGCATCAGCTAATGTACTCTGCAAGGTGTACAGATGTTTCCCAGGCCACCATTCTCTCCTAATCTTTCATCAGTCGAACACATTTGGGATTTGATTCGATGCCATTTTCAGAACCTGCCATTGCCGGTTCAGAGGATAAACTCTTTCAAATGGTTCACAGGAAATGGAAAGCCATTCCTTAGGACACCATCTGTAGTCTCATTGATTCTGTATCTAGATGTGTTGCTTCGTGTATCGCTGTCCAAGGTGGTCTTACATGATGCTGTTCCTGCTCTGTATTGTGCATATCTTTTCAAAATAAAGATCACTTATTGTTTGTTGTTGTCTCTCTCTGTTTGTTGAGTTTCATCACTTTATGGCCACACCTTCTTGGTGTTGCCTTTTCAATGACGGGTAGTGTACACTCAACAATCTTGGAATTTTCACAAACCTGGACGGTTATTCTATGCTACGAGAGTCAACAGCAAGTTGTGGGCCGCCAGATGTCGCTGCTAGTAAAAAACAGGTCTGCGCGACATCCTATATTCTCTGAGTACGGAAGTTGTCGAAAGCGCGTGAAAAAGTGTTGCCGCGTCGTCAAACAGGGTCGTGCAGTTGACGTACTAAGTAGACAATGGCTTTGTATGCGTTTTCGCCGCTCATTTTTTCATATTTAAACGAAGAATACGGTCGTAGATCTCTGAATCAGTGGCGAATTTATAGAAAATATGTTGATGTTTTTGCTCTGCCAAAAGATGTTTTCATTGGGTATTTCAGATTGCCAAAATTTATAGTTATTTTAATTTGTGATGAACTGAGAGAGTATTTGGAGCCACATTCAGAAAACAAGAACGTAATTTCTACTGAAAAAAAGGTTATACTATTCCTGAAATTATAGATATAAATTGTAATTGTATGCTTTAAAAATGTAGAAGATAATAAGTTTATCAAGCACATAAACCTTCTTCATTTAATACAAATATAGACATCCGATAAGTTTCTACACGATTTATGTACAGTAAGAATTACGTTTACTTTAAAATCTAACAGTTGAATACCTTACGAATAATACTGTGAACACAAAAAGAAATGTTCATTATTACGCGAAATTCACACTACTGTAAAATAAAAAAAAATTATAAAACTATAAAATAGCTTTATAATATTTTTTTCAGTAGCTGTACTACTACTAGAGTGATATTTTTAAAAATAAGTTTTAGCCCAGAGGGCCTTTTAATTTCGTTTTGCCATTTTGTGGCGTTTCACGATAAATGGCGTTTCACTTTTCAAATCGTTGCCACCAAGTATTATTGCACTCTTTTATATTTAAAGAAATTAAATAACGAGGAATTTGCAGAATGTATGAATGTTTCTTGCACTGTGATAAAACAATGGTACCTAGAGCCATGAAATTCTGAATAACGTAATCCTCCATTCTAATATAGGCATTTGGAGGCCCAAATTTGGAACTGGGAATTTGTTTTATTATCTATTTTATATTTTTGTAAAGCATTTATGAGTTTTTGATTAAGAAACCCAACGATTTCAAAGCGAGCAATGGCAACGTTGTACGGGGAGGGGGGGAAGAGGGGAAAACATTTTTATCTCTAGCACGCGAGGCTATGTATCGGAAATTCTAAAGATATGCATTTTTAAAATTATATGATATTGCTGTTAAATTGAATTTTATGGTTTAAGTGCAAAAAACATGATATTTAATAAATAAAGGTAACACGCAAAACGTTAAAAAAATGGCCCTTTGGGAGTAATATAAAATCTGAAGGATTTCAGATTTTTTTTTTTTTTTTGGTGTTTGTGTGTGCAATTTTATTACGTTTTAAAACTAGTTTCTAAGTGAGGACTTTCTAAGGGAAACTAACTCGTATACACGTTACACATGGGGAAAACGCTGGCCAGTTCGTTCGCGGGATTTGAACCTCGGACCAAACTACCTGCGTTCAGCGACTCTACCGCTCGGTGGCTGGTGGGCTTGTTAGCAGAATTATACTGTGTTATTATTGTAAAGAATTATTATTGCATTATTATTGTATTATGCTATAAAGTAACAATGCTATAAGACTGAGGATTTGTTCATGGAATAGTACTTTTGTAACCTATTATAGTATTGAAAAATCATTGTTTCTTTGCAAACTTAAATATATATATATATATATATGTATATATTACTGTTCATAGCATTCTCATTTTTATATTGTAAAAGAGATATTGATTATTATTTGTTTTCTATTTAAAATGTGTCGAAACGCTGGTTTGACAAGGACTTCAACTGCAGGAGACCTACACTAATTATTTTCACTTTAGTACTTGCATTGTGAAAATACTACTATCTTTTAATTATTTTCACAGAATAAAATCTTTTGAGAAGGAAGAATATTTAAACTGAGCAGTTCTTATATATATATAAAATTAAAATAACAGCAATGTAATATTAAAATAACAGCAATGTAATATTAAAAAAAAGGTATTAGTAATTGTGTGACAAAAATTGCAAAACGAATTAATCACACATACAAGATAGATTTAATTTTGGTTATATATTTTGTATTGAAAAAATATTTTCTTTCATGTTAATTATAGAATAAATTATTTAAAATAAAGCTTTTTGATGCGTGTGTGATAGTTGAATGCAGCAGCAATCGGCCATAGCGAATGAATTTTATTTCTTTTCCTGAAAGAAATAATTTTCATAGAAAAAGAAAATAAAAAAAGGGAAGAAATATTAAGAAAGAAATATTTTCTTTCTAATTTCTTATTTAAAGAAATATTTTTTCAATAGTAACTGTAAATTGCGGGAAAACAGTTTTAATGTAAGAATGGGGGGGGGGGAATTAATTTGCTATTAGATTGTAATACAAATTAATCATATTATAAATTTAATGATTAAAATTGTTTATTTCTAAAAGGATTTGAAGTAAGCTTAATTCATTTACTCTTATCTATTTACCATTCCTTTCGTGATATCCCATATCACTCTTTATTTCTTAGCTCTAAATTCCTGCGTTAACTTTCCCTTAAAAAACGGGATTTTCCTTCACATAACATGTTGGTCATAATACTGTTTTGTGCAATTTTTTTCGAACTACAAATGCAGCGTGCGAGTTAGTGAAATAATGGGAGAATATTCCTAGAACTTCAGCCGCGCTATAAATTTCGTCACTCGTCTGTACTGCGATTGGTCTAAAGCTCCTTGAAGCCTTGCCCCCTTTCAGTAAAGTCAAATGGACCCACCCGCTCACCAACTGAGGACCACAGAATGGCTTTCTCCGATAAGTTGTGAAGGCTGTCCATACCGGTTTTTTTGAGTCAATATTGTTCGCTCAAGTTGTAGACAGATACAGTGATCATAGAATAGGCGTCCTGGCATTTTGAATTCCCCAAGTTTTCTGGATAGCTGAACTTTTACTGGTAGTATACTTAAATCTGTTGACTCTAATTCTTTAAATGGGCTAAAGCTTGATTTCGCATGGACTGTCTTAAAAGATTATAACAAGGCGACAGTAAGGGGCAATACAGGTATTTATTTACATCAGAGATTGAATTTTTGCCTTGTAATATATATGTTAATAAGTTCACATATATTTTTAGAAACAGCTTAAGGAGACTAATGAAATGTCAATGAATATTGTGCTATATTCAAGAAAGAACTACTGTTAAAAGAAAGAAATTATATGTATAATATAATGAAAGGAGATTTTGTAATTAAATTAATAGGATGCATAGTGATTACCTGTTATAGCTATAATTTGCAAACAGTTATGAGGCTTAGGAAAAAGACTTCTAAAAATCAGTCATTATTTACATATCACTTAATTTTTGTTAGAAAATGAGAGATAAGAAATCTTTATTTCTCACATTCTATTTAAATATTTATTTTTACATTTTATTTTTTATAAAATGATTTGATATTTAAAGGGTATGATTTGATATGCACAAATCATCTAGTATTGTGCAAAAATCTCAAAATTAAAAAATAATTATCAAGCAATACCAAATTAGGAAATAATTATCAAATATTTCAGTTTGCAATCAATTTAAATAAGTAATTTCATAGTTTTAAATAAAAGGAACCGTTCCTACTTTATTGGGCTATGCCACTTTGGTCAATTATGATGATGATGAATTAATTATGAATAATTATGATGGTTAATTATACCAGCTGCCATATTCACGACTTTCTCACAATACATTACCAATTGTATATAGCAGATACTAACTAAACTTTATGATGATGGCCGCTAATTTGAAGATTTTTAAATATTGGAAACACCCCGCCCCCAAAAAAAACTTCCAATTAATAGATTTTGTGAAGAAACGGGTAAAAGTAATAAATAAAGATGATATAACTATGGTTGCCACACTACCTGAAAAACCGGAAAAAGTCAAGGAATTTGAAAATTGACCAAAAAAGTCAGGGAATTTAAATATTTTAATCAAAGTCTGGAAAAGTCAAGGAATTTCATACGGTTATCCCTCCCTCAAAAGTGACTTTTACTCCAACATTGGAAGCAATCACTTTCTTGCCGAATTATGTATTGCATGAGTGTCATTTGGACAGCTGGTGTAGAGCCAATTTTCATAGCTCCTATCAGCTTTTAGAAAGGCAAAGCAAATTTACAGTAACATCGAGAGACATGCATGTGCACTGCATGTTGAACGAAAGAAAATACTTTCCCGTTCTCATATAAAACAAAATCAGTGTAATTCTAGTACACGATGCACACAGGATTTGGCGACATTATGATAAGCAGTAAATGAGTTATTTTGGTGTTGGCAAGAATTTTCAGAATCATGCCAAGGTTGCACTATATGTACTAGGATTTTACAAAATCTTTTAAACTTTTTTTTTTAATAAGTGCTTTATTTGTCTTTTTGCAGTAAAATAAAGAAAACAGTAATCAGTAATCTAAACTAATCCAAAATATTGCTGATTATTGTAATTAATTTTTAATCTTTGAGTTATTTACTTTATTTTAGTGTTATTTGTAGCTTTTCCTTCTAAATTTATTTATTATTAGTTAATATTATCATATTTGAGGCATTTTTCTCTGGCATACTCCTGAAATTAATTCTAATAGTATGAAGACATTCCATCACAAAACTTAATGCACATTTTTTTTTTGCTTATGTATGCTGTTAAATAAATATAAAATACCTGAATTTATTTTAATGTAACAATAAATATATTTCTTTCTTTCATTTAGCTGCAAAATGTTTGCTAAAAAATAAATTTTTTTTATTCCAGATTTCCCAGATTCTAATATCAATCTTCAGCGGAGAAAACAACTCCTATTACAGTTTTAATAGTAATGCTTTTGGGGATTATATATATAAGTCATATATAATTAGCAAATTTTTGTGTTTTCAAGTGGTACCATAATTAATTTACCTCTCAGCACAGACAACGTGCACTATGCGGATAGACTGGAATTTTCTTAAAGCACATCTGGTAAACCTGGAAAAGTCAGGGAATTCCACTCTCCTGTTTGAGTGGCAACTCTGATAGCAAAAGTTTTAATTGCAATTGCAATACCCTCAGTTAATTAACAGATGGTGAAATCTGTACTATGGGTTCTAAATCTAGAGAATAATGCTAATGATAGTGAAAAAAGTAACATAAGGGTTGTGAAGAACAAAAACGAATTGACAATTTAATGGGAATTCTCGACACGTCATTTACAGGACTTGAACAATAGAACTTTGTACCTGAGCAAGTTATGTCTATTTCTAGAATTAAAGAGAAAATATTAGCATAAAATACAAAGCAAATTAAACAGCTTACATTGAAAGAAATGTTTAATAAAGCAAACAGATTTCTATCACACTGTACTGAATAAAAAAAATTTAGTTAGATAAATTTTTTTTGAGTTCTTTGTAGAGTTCAAATTTTTTTTGACTAATTCATCTAAATTTACCAAATTTTAAAAACATAATATAAACTCTGATTGTCATTTTATTTTTCAGCTTTATTGTCTCGAACATTTCAGGATCATGTTATGGTGTTTGCTCAGACCAAACAGCAAGTCCATAGACTTTATGTTTTATTGCAATTGCTGGGAATCAAGTCATCTGAGTTACATGGGAATGTGAATCAGCCTCAACGCTTAGAAGCTCTCAGGAAGTTTAAGGAAGAAGAAGTGGATGTTCTTGTCGCAACTGATGTTGCAGCTAGAGGTTTAGATATACCACATGTTAAAACAGTTAAGCAATAATTTTATAATTAAAAAAAAATCTTCAAATTTACAGGAATATGCAAAATATTGTTTCATTAGAAAGTAATTAGTAAAGTTAAATAAAATTAAATAATTATCTTGCGCCAATGCTGCAAGGAATGAAATATTAATTTAACAAATATTTGGTTCATTCTTCAAATTTTTTAGGAATGAACCAAATATTTGTTGCAGTAGTAACTTGTAATGGAAAATGTACGTAACAGTAACAGTACCTTTTAAGTTTGTTCTATAATCATTTGTTGAATTGTTCAAAATTTCTCTTATTTTTCTTCATTTTCACTGTTTATTTGTAATTTAAAATTTTTAAGATTCAACAAGGAAATTAATTTAATTGAGCCTATGAATGAATGCATGTATGCAGCTAATAGTGATGCACCAATAAATATTTTAATATCTTTAACATGGTCAGTTTTATTAAAAAAATTGTGTTGTGATAAGGAAGTTTCTTCCATCTTCTGGCTTGCATTTTGTGGTGTCATGGGAACACATCAGCTACCATTGAAAAGTCGGGTGCAAGTTTCAGTAAGGACATTACTTATTTTTCTTGTTTTCTGCTCCAAAATAAACCTGAGGACTCTGTTTTGGCTACCGAGCTAAAATGTGGTGGACAGTGATCCATACCCACATTGATTTGGGAACTGGATCCCCTCAACCCATATTGCTCTTTAAGTGGGAGAGAATGCAAAAAAATTTCTTCCTCATTCTTGTGTGCCTGTATGCTGTAATGAAAGCACATCTAACCAGCTTCGGAAAGTCCAGAGTTCTGGTTCCAGTGAGGCAAAATTAGGCTGAATTTAGTTTGATTTTTCTTGTTTCGTGCTCCGAAATAAATCTAATGATGCTACAGCCTTATTGATATTGCCATAATGTAAACTACAGGTGTAAATTGGAAACTTATGTTTATTAGTATGGACTGTTTTAATCAAATAATTCAGATTTCCAGAAATTGTCATTTCGTTATTGTTAAAATTAATATGCTTTTTTTTTTTTTTAAAGATTTTTAAATCTATTTTTGTCTTTGGAAAACTATTTTTTGGAAAATTTTGGAAATATCACAGTAGTTTATTTTGTTAAAAGGTATTTTTCAAATACTTCGTAGGTTCTAAAGTCTGTTATTTAAATGAAAGGTATTATTTAATTTTTTAAAAGAAATTTCTCTATTTTAATTATTTTAGCAGCTTTATGTGTGTTGAATAGAAATGTTTGTTATGCGAGTCCAGATGGGTTTCAAATAAATTTTGAAAGACTGTAAAAATGTGCATTTTGTTGTTTGCTTGTATGAACATGCAATAAAAACAAATTTTTTAAAAATTATTACTATATTTTATTATTTTTCTTTAAATGCTGATGTTGTTGTAAATTTATTTATTATTTTTTTTAATTACATTGAAATTATGTTGCACACAAAATATTCATGTATTTATAATGCCATTTTCCCTTTTTTTCAGGTTATAAACTTCACAATGCCTTGCACTCTTCAGCATTATATTCACCGTGTTGGAAGAACAGCAAGAGCTGGAAAAACTGGCAGGTAATAGATGAATAATTGTGTAGACTTTTATTTAGCTTACTCATGATGTTTGTCACTATGATTGAAAATTTATTATCAATATTTAATCTATTTCCTGCTAAGCTTAAGCTGTTGAGCCCAAAATTTGCACACACGTTGTTTATGGCGACAAATAATACAATATGGTGAAGAAATTTTTCAAAACTCTATTTAGATTTTTGTAAAATTTAATGCTAAAACAGTTTTTTGTACATACTGTATGTTTCGTACATAAGTCGAGAATTTTTGGAAGTTTTCCTAAATTTAAATTATGGGGTCAGCTTATTTATAGAGTCTCTAACCTAGCAAAAATCATTCATATTTTTCCATTAGCCAGGCACAAGTGATAAATCATTAAATGTAGCACATTTTTATTTTAGTTTCTATTTATTAAGTTTGTGAAAAAAATTAGTTTTAAATTAAATGAGATGTTCATTTTATGAAGATTTCATGAACATGGTTATTTTTTGAACATCTCATTTCATCGAGGTGTTTTATTTTTGGAATTGTTTATAATGCTGATTTGTTGCATCATCACCAAAACGAGAAATCTGATGTTGGCAAAATTGACACTTTGTTTTCTCCACTTTCGAATTTGTTTTTCTTTTATGAGAAATTCTAAGCAGCCATATTATTAGAATTTTCATCAAATGCAGTCTCCTGTAGTTTGAAATTTGCTGTGTAAGAATTTTTGATTCATCATCTTTGAGACAAAAATAAAATTACACAGAAAATAAGACCAACACGGATACCACAGATCATACACATGGCAACGGATGAAAGAAAAAAAATTCTTTGCTCCAGGTAGGGTTACAAAAGTTCAAACTATTGTCATTAACATCTAGCATTTTGCTTTACATTCATTTGATTAAAAATAATCTGCTTATTTTATCTGCTTGGCAACATTTTCCCTTTTATTGTGACATGTTGGAATTTACAGGATTTTTTAAAAATTTCAGCTTATGTATGAGTTTTGAACTATGGGTAAATATTTGAAGAAAAAAACACACTCTTAGCTTATACAAGGGTCGTCTTATATTCAGAAATATACGGTATCTTTGTTAAAGAACAAGCTAAAAAACCCAGATATTTATTGTTTAGAGCACTGAATGGAGGGGGGAAAAAGTCTTAATTAGTGTGTTTTTTTTTTTTTTTTTGTGAATTTTCGAAAATTCATGATTTTTTTTTTTTTTTTTATTTGACATCTATTATTTTAAAATTTCAACATGCAAAATTGTTTTAAATATAGCCAAAATAGCAATTTTATTTTCAGAACTGCATTTTGAAACAAGATAATTATTTTAATTTATCTGACGAGATCCTTCCTGTCCTTGATATTTTAATAATCTGCAATGAATTTCAGAGTCATCATTTACGTGAACCCTTTTCTGTTTCTTTACTTCACTATGCTAAATCATGTCATTTTGCTGAGCAAAAAGTGCTTCTTTTTACTCTTATGTATATTACATTCTCAAAGTTTGTTTTTAAGAATCTTTGCTTACTATTGAACTTAATTATTTGAAACCAGTTGTCTTTGATGAACGATTTTCACCCATGATCATTGATAAAGCTTTTAAAAAATTTTCACCGTGCCATCAAATAAGACATTCTGCTGTTAGAAATAACAATAACAACCTTGTAATCATTCCATTTCATCCTTCTATTTGTTATAAAACTGGAAGGAGTCTTTACAAATTCAACTTTAAGGTCATTTGTTTCACCTATGAGTAAAATTAGTCAAGAGTGTTTTCCTGACTTTAATTTTTGGAGAATTTATAATAATATATCTTGTACTTTAATTTTTGGAGAATTTATAATAATATATCTTGTCAATAAGGTTTGAGATATATCAATCAAACTAGAAAAGGATTAAAATTATATGTCAAGAAACGCAAATCTATATCTGGGGAAAAAAAAAAAAAAAAAAAAAAGAGGGAATAAACAAATCTTCTATAGCTAATCATAGTTAGGAACTTCATCACAGTTTTGACTTTGTGTGTGTGAAAATTATCCATAAAGCTTCTTCAGTTGGGAACTGGATTTCCTTGAAGCTTTTCACTTTCACAAAAATTTATCTTCTTTAGCTTACAATATTAATTTCAATCTAATCCTTTTTAACACTTTTAAAGTTCTAATGTCTTAATTTTTCATGTTTCATTACTAATTTCTTTACTAATTACTAACAGACGGCACTATGTTTGTGTTCACATTGCTGTGCCCATTGTTTTTTTATATAACGAGAGTTGTGGCTTCTCTCATGTTTGCAGAATTTTTTTCCTTCTGGTGAAGGAAAAGAACTTCTATTTTTGATTGGCTTTGAAATTGATTAGAATTTTATTTAAAATCTATGCCTCCTCCCCTCCCCCCTCCAAAAAAAAAAGGTAGGAGTTTTCCTAATTTAAAAATTTTATATTGGCCTGTTTTTCTTCCTATTTATTCTGAAAATAAAGGATCTACTTTAAGTTTTTGGAATTTTTGCATATTATAAAACAAACTTTTTGTCCTCTTTTTTAAAACAAGCATGATATTGGGTTGGGAATTAAATGATTGTGGATTTTAAATAAGAAGGAACGTTCAAACTTTTTACGTGAAAATTTAGCTTTTTTAAATTAGGTATTGTCTGTTTTTATTGATGACTTTTTGCCATCTTTCAGATCGTGTCATAATTCTATGCTCATAAAACTTCTGGTTTTTGTCAGCAAAAAAACTGAATTAAATGAGATTTTACATCATCTGTTTCATTAAAAATTTTACTATTTAAGAAGTTCTTCATGGAACAAAATAAATAACAGTCTGAAAACACGAGGTCAGGGCCATATGGTGGATGTGACAGCACATTCCAACCTCGCTCTAATAATTTTTGGCGAGTGACCGAAGATATGAAGGGCTTTGCATTATTATGTTGAAAAACGACACTCTTATGATTTACCACTACTGGATACTTTTCTTGAAGTGCATCACTCAGTTTAACAAGTTATTGAACATAGATGTTTGAATGAACCGTTTGGTTTCTTGATAAAAGTTCTGCTGTAACCTCACTAAACTGACAGCATAATCTTTTTTTTAGGGGGGGGGTGAATCTTGCTTTTGGTGTTGTGTGAACCGGTCCAATATGTTTCATTCATGAACTTCTTTGATTAATGCTGTAAACTATATACTTTTCGTCGCCAGTAATCAGTCATTTCAGAAATGGATCAATGTCGTTGCATTTCAGAAGTGAACCACAGATGCTAATGTGTTGCATTAGATGGATTCCTTAAGCTGACGAGCCACCTGTAGTTTGAGTTTCTTAACCTAGTCAAGCTGTTTTAATTTTTTCTAATGCATGTATATGATACACTGAGCTGCTGTGCAATTTCACATGTTGTGCTATGAGAATCTAAATCGATAATGGCCTTGATATGGCTGTCATTAAATTTAACTGGATGGCCAGATTGTTGTGCATTTTTGAGTGAAAAATCATCAGAACAAAATTTTGCATACCAGTTTTGACACTACCTTTCTCTCAAGGCTTCAATTCCCATATACGATGCATAACTTCTTGTATGCTTGTGTTGTATTCCTGCCATTTTGGAAATAGTACAGTAAAATATGTCTGAAATGCAGTTTTTTTTCCACTTTTAAATTGGAATAAAAATGTAACTAAATTATGAGATATATTATTTTTATTAATAGTTATTTTAATTTTCTAGCCTTATCTGTCCTTTCTGATTTCATTCGCATTTCCTCATCAGGATGTAAACGAGTTAGGATGAATGTGAATGTATTTAAACTGAAGTAGAGAAAATATTATTCAGAGCATGCTTTTGCTATTGAACACGCACATTGTTACTTCAACCATCTGTCTGAATTTTCAATCTCAACTTATTCACATTCTTGGTGCGGAAATTAATATCATGTCAGTGTAGGTTTCTGAATCAACCTGCTAGTTTAAATTAGTTTGTGTAGTCTTGAACTGCTAGTTTACCTTTTAATTTAGTTTGTTACCATTATCTTTAAGCTCATCACCAAAAGTTGCTGGAGAAAATGTAAGCGTGTAAGTCCATGCTGTCTGTAAATAACTGAGCTCAATGAAAAGGTCTTTTACATTCTTTTCCTGTTGTATTCATCTTCTAGTTTAAGTGATAAGTCACTAAGCAGCTCTTCAAGCAGGTCTAGTTGCAGTGTATGTTAACAAAGAAGACTAGATCTTACAAAATAAAACATTGATACAATTCTGTTACAAATTAACCTTTTCCGGATGACATCCCAGTCTCGTGCTCTATGCCCAGTCTCGTGCTGAGCTTTTATGATGTCTCCACAGGGTGATGGATGCTTGCTCGCTAAGCCTAATTTTACCAAAAAATCTGGCAAAAATATAGTTTTATTTCAGTTTACTCATTTTTGTTTTTCCAAGTACTGCAGAAAATGCATTTACCTTTATGATATTGTTACAGATTTGGTATTTAAATAGCTAATGTTAGTTGAATTATAAATTAAATGGTTTTGTTTCCCATGCAGTGCAGCGCGTGACGAATATTAAAAGAAAGCTAAGCCGGAAAATTGAAAATACAAGAGCGTGTGCATTTAACATTTAATAAATATCACTTTTTGATTTCGAGAAAGTTCCAGAAAGTTCTTGCGCGTGATTTAAAAATTTTATAAAAAGGAGGAAAACCTCTCAGTGTAATTAGTGAGTTATTTTAGTTAGCTTGTTGTTGTTTTAAGAGTTTGTTTAGAAAACTGCTCTTGTTGATTGTAGCGAATTCACGGATTAGCTTTCTTTAGCTGTTTTGAATTAACTTCCGTTGAACTTTTGAGTGCTTGAAAGATAACTACTGTGAGATATTGTAATACTGAAAGAATAGCTAAGTAAATTTAAGCGTTTTTATTGTAATAATAAAATTTTGTCCATTTTTTTTCATCGGACTTGTGCATTCAATTCAAATGAACCCATACACACGCAACAATTTTTTGGCGTAGCCGGTAGGATTGTGAACAGC